TTTTTTTTTTTTTTTTTTTTTCAACGTTTATTTATTTTTGGGACAGAGAGAGACAGAGCATGAACGGGGGAGGGGCAGAGAGAGAGGGAGACACAGAATCGGAAACAGGCTCCAGGCTCCGAGCCATCAGCCCAGAGCCCGACGCGGGGCTCGAACTCACGGACCGCGAGATCGTGACCTGGCTGAAGTCGGACGCTTAACCGACTGCGCCACCCAGGCGCCCCCCACGGTTACTTCTTATAGCAAAGATTATTCTCCTTAAGCCTGGGAGTTGAAACAATATATTTTGCTCAGAAATAAATAAGCGGAGAAGGAGGAAATGAGAATTTTCTTTGATGCCTGAAATGCTTTTGCGTTTTGTTCCACTTGGCTTCACTAGGAGATTTGAAAATGAACTGATGTGGAAGATAAATCCAGAAAACTTTCATCCAGTTTGTATTTCCAACTTGAAAGTTATTGTTCATACCTTCAGCTACATTTTAGTTAACACGCTGGGTATTTCAGCAGATTTCCAAAATTTTCCCCGATGAATTACTTTTCTCTAATAGCTAATCATGAGGGCAGAGCATGCTAATAAAATTAAAAACGGGGGGTCTCTAACTAAAACTTATCGTAAAATACGAATTTGAAAATCAATATGTAAAGCCAAAAGAAGGTTTTCATTAGGCTGTTTCCTTTTTCATGAAAAGATGTTAGGGTTGTGATGCAATTCAATTATTTAAAATCACTTCAACGAAGAATCAGAAAAGAGAGACGGAAAGGGTAGGGAAGCCGTGCATTTAGCAAATATCGTCAAGCAGAGAGCTGTATGAAAGAACCCGGGCCTGGCCTCGGAGGGAAATGGATGTGCATATGGGGACAAGACGGACATGTACCAGACCAGGCAGGCCTGCATTTGGTAGCAGCTAGAAGGAAGGTTGGGGAGGAGATACTGCTTCCGGTGTAGATGATCGGGGAAGTTCTCCCAGGGAAGTGGCTTGTGCCTTTGCCTTGGGGCTGAATAGGTGTTAGGGATGGAGGGGTGGCATTCCTGGTAGTGAGAATGGCAATAATCCCGGGGTGGGGGTGGGGGGGTTAGAAATAGAAAGCTACAGGTGGTAAATCATGGGGAAATAAATAGGTAATCCACGTTGGCTTTTTATGAACTATTTGATCAAATCCATGAGTAGACACCAGAGAGGCAGTGGAGGACAGTTTTGAGAATTCAGTCTCCTGGCCCAGCAACTGTGCAGCTCAGTGCTCCTGGTTAAATCACAGAAGCTCTGTGAGCGTCACTGTCCTCTTGTGTAAAATGGGGTACCAATAGCATTGTTGGCAAGAGCAGCTTAGTAGAACTTAGCCTAGAACTTAGCCACGTTGGGCCCAGAGTAGGTGGCGAATAAATATTGACTCCTGACAGCAGTAAACAACAAATCGTCCATAAGTATGAGTTTTTGCTCTTCAAAGATCCATCTAGGAACAGGGGTGTGTTCGCAGCCTCCGCACGTCTGTCTCTAACCCCCCAGCCCAGCGGATGGCTGGCCGAGCTCCACCACGGGAGGAAGCTGGGAGGTGAGGAGGCCCCTAGACCACAGTTCCTGCAGAACCTACTGCCTGCGGGTTGACCAGCTGACCGGTGGTGAGGGCCCCGCCAATGAGTGGCACCTGCAAGCGTGTGCCCTCTGCTGGGGGCTGAAGAAGCTTCACCCTTCCGGACCCGCCCGCACGGGGTGCTCAGGGAGAACTGTCCTTCCCGGAAGTGACGCAGGGACTTCGCTTCCCAACATCCTGTGCACAAATTGCTTGGGACTCCTGAACACATCTGAGCGTCCAGGGCGAGGCTGTTGCTGGTTACCAAGAGGTGAGCGAGGCCTGTCTGGTTGTCCTTGGGGAAGACACCGGCCTGTGTGACACCCCCGCAAAGTCTGTAGGGACTTTGCCAAGGGACACACGGCCAGCACGCGGCACACACGGAGGACATGCTTAAGAATCCTCTAAAACGGGAAACTGCTTGTTCTGAAAACAAAAGCTCTCCTCTTGTTATCAGTGGTCCCGAATATTAGAGATTTCCACCCCCCCAGGGGGCCAAAAGGCACCCAGCTATGTGATCATGAGTGGAAAAACAGGGGCAGAAATCAGGCATTGGCAACTTCTCCTTTTTCATTTGTGTGCGAATTTTTCGTCTAAAAGTGGAGATTCAAAGCATGAAGGCAGGTCGAAGTGCCCCAGCGAGAAAGTTCAGCAAACAGATTTTATAACAATTATACACAAGCCTGTTAAGTTTTCCTGGATCATGCAAGCATTTGGGGTTTCTCAGCAAACTGTTTGTCGACGGCAACCAAAAGGTGTTGCCGAATTGTACCCGCACAGTGGATTCCGCCCATTTATACTCTCTCCTCACTGAGGTGTCTACACCCAAGTACATCTGTCCTCTGTGCTCTTCCTGTAAGTTCACTATGCAAATACGTTAAACTCTAAAAATATTTTTTTTTCTGGGAATAATCTCAGTGTTCCTTATGCATCCACGTTTGCTGTGTTAGCTTTGTGGGATACATCTCAAGTCATGCCGGTTGTTTGAAGGATTTGGGGTCCAACACACATGCACATGCGCGCGCACACACACACACACACACACACACACAGTGCTTCCTGGCCAAAAGAAATGAAAAGAAAGTTTCAGGAAAGCAACACTTTTTTTTCCCTTCCGTTTGCATGATAAAGTACGGGGATATTGTCATTAAACTGGCTTGTTTTGTCATTCCTAACACCTGCTGGCAAAGCGTGGATGAGACTAGAAATTGAATCTGCCCTCACTGCTAGCTCACGGGGAGTAACGGGCCAAGCCAGCAGGCACCAGATCAGTAAAATGTGTCTATGCCCTCATTGTCTGTATCTTTGGTGACGTGCTCAGAATTTCATGTCACGCTGGCAGAAACTTAATACTTGTTATTCTTCATGTTTGTTTATTTTTTGAGCGGTGGGGAGGGACAGAGAGAGAGGGAGACTCAGAATCCGAAGCAGGCTCCAGGCTCCGAGCTGTCAGCACAGAGCCCGACGCGGGGCTCGAACCCACCGAACTGTGAGATCGTGACCTGAGCCGAAGTCGGACGTTTAACCGACTGAGCCACCCAGGCGCCCCAAACTATTTTAAAAGCGTATTCGTTGTTGATGACACCAGGGGAGGAAGGGCCAAGGGCAAACCGTGGTCTGCTGGTTGTGTCTGCATTTGGGTGAACAGCCGCCCAGGGGGTCCCCTCATGTTCTCCTGGTCCCTTAGAGAGTAAGCTCGATGGATAAGAGGTCACGTGCACCCGCGGCGTCACGGCCTGGGCTCCGAGGGCCAGGCAGGGTGCGAACCTGTGGGCACCGGGCACCTGGCTCTGCACCTGTCAGTCCTGCGCGTTGAGAAGTGAGGCAGCGTCGCGGGCACCGTGCGTGTGAGGCGATGTTTGCAGGCCTCGCCGGTGCCGTGGTGCCGTCCGCAGCTCTTTCTAGGACGTTCAGCCTTTTCTTCTGCTGTTCGTAACGGTCACGGCCCTGCACTGACGCCTTTGGTCCTCCCTGCAACCCTGAGGCGCTGCTCCGACGCTCACTCGACGGCCGAGGAAACTGAGGCCGGGAGAGGCGCACGGATGCAGGTGCGGCCGGGGGCTCTGAGGGGCCTGGGAGGATCTGAGCCCCGCTGGCCTGCACCCCCTCTCTTCCCGTCCCTTCCCCGTCTGGGAATGCGTTTGCTGAAAACCCCGCGGCCTCTCTTCCGGGACGACACAGTACGGCTACGTCAGTTCAGCACGTCCCTCAGCAGGGCTGCAACAGACAAAGCCCGGGGACAGAACGCCTCCAGACGTGGAGTGGGAGCAAACTCCAGGCTCGAGGACATGAGGTTGTGACTAATTAAAGTTTCACTTGCCGCCCCACCTTTTCTTGAGATATAATTCATAGGCCATCAAAATCACCATCTTAAAGTATGTGATGCAGTGGTTGTTAGTATCTTCACATAGTTATGCAACCATCACCCTTACCTAATTCTGGAACATTTTCCTCACCGCACTGGAAACCCCATGCTTATTAGCGGCCAGTCCCCGCTGTCTCCACCCCTCCCCCCCCATTGTCTCCACCCCCACCACCAGTCCCTGGCAGCTGCTTACCTGGTTTCTCTCCCTTTGGATTCGCCGCATTCCGGACGTTCCATGTAAATGGGGCCACATGGTATGAGGCCCCTTTGTGACCACTGATTTCACCGAATGTCTTGTTTTAAGGGTCACGCATGGTGTGACAGGCGTCCGTGATTCTCCCCTTCGTGTGACTGAGTTATATTCCATTGTGGGGGCGGACCTATTTGTGTATCCACACATCCGCCGATGGACATGCCCTTGGCTTTACAATTGCGTTTCCACGAAGACGCCCTGTCAAAAATAAAACTTTGGGGCGTCTGGGTGGCTCAGTCCGTTAAGCGTCTGACTCTTGATTTTGGCTCAGGTCGTGATCTCCCGGCATGAGATTGGGCCCCACATCCAGCTCTGTGCTGACAGTGTGGGGCGTGCTTGGGATCCTCTCTCTCCCTCCCTTTCTCTCTCAAATAAGTAAATAAAATTAAAAACTATTTTTTAGAAATAAAATACAATGTTAATTCTGTTGGATCCTTTGTCTTAGTTCTGCTAAGGATTCCGACTCATTCTGCCCGAAAGGTTTAGGACAAGAGCCACCAGACCTTCACGGGACAGCTGTGTGGCCGGCAGACCGCACTGGCTGTGGATGACTTCTGCTCGACACCGTCGGTGGCTGTCCCCGGGGCTCCCCCAGGCTTTGTGTGACAGGCTGAAGAGCAGACACGAGGTCATGTGTGTTTCTCTGAACTGCGTCCCCAGTGCGACTCTGTCCCTCGTCGCTATTACCTAGGAGCTGAACCCGTTTGACTTGGTTTTCTCCTTCCTGAGTTGTTGAGTCCGACTCTGTTGCCGTGACATGAAATTCTCTTGAGACCGAGGCTCTTCCTAAAATGTATCCTGTTGTCTTTTCAGGTGGACCCAGTGTTTACAAGGGAAGTGGGAGCCAGAGTAAAGAGGTAAGTGTGGGACGTGAACAAGCATTTCGCAGGACAGGAAACCTGGAGGCTGGTACATCCCCCGCCCCCGACTCACGGTGCCCAGGCTCTGTTCCCGGCCCTTCCGAGCGTCACCCCCTGTAATGTCCCGATGATCCCGGGAGGTCCGAGGTGCTCTCCCTCCCCCCACTCGACAGGAAGGACACCGTGCAGGTAGCGTAATAAATCCCCGCGGTAGTGGCGATGCCCAGCCTCGCTCGCTCAGGGAGACGCGGATGAAGAACACTTAGAATCGTCACTGGTCACACTGGCCAGAGCTGAAAAGACCTGAACTGTCCAGAGCGCGGTTGACCCGGGGGGAAACAGAAACACAGGCTTCAACAATTGCTCACATAAGAAACAACCCGGACCAAGTATGAGTCCAGTGACTGGGGTCCTGTCTCTCTGTCCCACTGTCCTCGACCTGAGGGTGGCAGGTGGACACTGTCGCCCGTCCCCCTTCCTGCCCCCTCCCCACACGATTCGCAGGGACAGAAGCACGTCCCCACTCGTGTTTCAGGGCTGCGGGCGTGCGGCTGATCCGAGAGATGCCCCAGGGGGACCTACACGCAGCGCTCAAGAACTGCTTCGCGGTGGTGAACAGCTCAGTCTCCGAGGGCATGTCTGCGGCCATCCTGGAGGTAAGCACCAGCCCCGGTCCCGGCACAGGAGCCGGCAGAGGGCCCCTCCTTCCCGCTCTCCTGGGCGGAGGGGGCGTCCTGGTCAGTCGAGGTCCCCACTTCTCACAGCTGCAGGGAACAAAACAGCATTCCCTGGGATTTTCGGAAGCCGGTTTTAAGTTCTACGCGGGACTTGACACCATTTCCTGTCTCTTGGCCGTTTGTCCTTGCCAGCTACAAAACCAGACAAAACTCGCTGGCCTCTCTGAGCCGCTAAATCTCTGTGATGGGAAGGCGCTGACTTGTAAGAGGCTGGGCCGGGAACTGGGATGGGGGGGGGGGGCGTTATTGTGGCACGAGGCCTTCTGTTTCTTGATTTCTTCTCCCCCTTTTCAGTACGCTCTCTAATCCCAGAATTCCCGGCATGAGGACGGGTCGGACTTTGGCCTGTGGCAGGGTGGGGGCGGGGACGTGGAGGGGGGGTTGCAGGGGCAGGGGGAGGGGCCAGGCCGAGCGGATCCCCTCACCCAGCATCCGGCTTCCTAGGCACAGAGACTCACCTGTTCTGTGGGGGTGGGGGGTGGGGGGTTGGGAATGGAGCCTGTCTACTTGGGGGTCCTGAAACAGGAGTGGGCACATGCTGTGTCCCCCCGCCCCAACATGTTGTGGGGGGTGGGCGGCAGGCTGTGGCTTCTGAGAACGGGCTCCATCCAAGCCCTTGAACCTTCCGGCTTGAGCCTCTGCAGTGGCCGGCTGGCTCACCAGGGTATCTCGGCGGTTTCTTGGGGGGCCAGCATGCGTCCAGCCCAGAGGACCTCCCTTCCCCTTCCTGTCACTTCATCGCACTCTGGAGCCCTTTTCCAGAGGGGGCTGAGCGGGGGGCGGCCTGCGTTGGCCTGTGGCCCTGACAGCACGTCACGAGTTGCAGCACATACCTGGCTCTCACGGCCCCGAGCACGCGCCTTGCACGCGGTAGGCACGGCCAGGGTCTAGGGCAGGATAAGCCCTGCTTGGAGAAGGAAACGGTGGCCATCGGGCCTCCAGGACCGTGGACCGGGTTTCTCGTTTTCTTTCTCGCTACGTGGCTTTCTCCTTCCGACGGCTACCTGGAGCGTTGCCGTCTTTTGTGGTCCGTAAGATCCATTTCTTCCCTCGGACACCAGTCGAATTTACCGAACTTGCGGGCAACAGGTACCATTCGGTGTCTCACAGAACACGGTTCGTAACTAAAGCAGGAAAAGGAATAAGCCTCCCTAAACTAAGGAACCACTGATGTGGGTGCCTAATATTTTCTCGTGGGATCGTTTAAAGAAGCTAAACCCAAACAGCATCAGGAACAGGGGTAGAAGCTGAACACGGGTGCCAGGCGCCCCCAGAGCGCACAGCGCGGACCGAAACCCGCTTGTCGTCAGGCACAGCCGGGACCTCCATCCGAGCTGGATGATGAGCGTCTGTCTCCACAAGGCTTGTGCCCAGGGTCAGTGCAGGCCTTGGGGAGACGCCTTCCACTCCTGTCCCAGCTTCAGAAGCGCACCTCTCACAGCCCCAGTCCTTGAGCTGGTGCCGATCGGCTCCTTTGTATGTAAATACACATTTTCTTGTTCAAGTTCCCTAAGATTCAGTGCAGTCAAATCCAGGAATGATTTCATAACCAGCACACGCAGCGTCTGACAAGGCAGCTGGGAGAGGATCCGACCGCCCCCTGTGTAGCTGTTGTGCGCCTCCTGAGAACCCCAAGTGACCGTTGGGTTGAGGGTTTTGAATGAAACTGATTTTAGGGGAGTGGTCTGGGTCCTCGTCATTAGTGGCCATTCAGAGAAGCAAAGTGGTGAATCACAGAATGAATGCCTATCACTTTTGAAGGAAGCGATCTTCCGACCTCTCAGAATTAGCTTTGTTCTGTTTTGTTTTGTTTTTCGTGGAAGCAAATAAAAATCTCATTTGCTAAAACACATCTCTTCCCAAGAAACTCCAAAAATCAAGCCCTAGCTGGGTGTGTGGGCGGTAGGGTGAAAATTCCTACGGCAAATTCGTGGTTTCAAGTTTGGACTCATTATGGAGTTGAAGTCCCCTGGAATCAAACTGAAGTAATATAAAAAGTATGCTCTTACTGCAGTCTTCCTACTTAGGGCCTCCTCCCCAACCCAGAACACACACACACACACACACCACTCTGTGGGTCAAAGTTTCTGATGCCGGTGAGGGAAGGAAGGCTGTATTCTAATGGTTGTTTTTTTTGTTTTGTTTTGTTTTTTAAGAGAGAGATAGAGTACGAGGGGCAGAGGGGCAGAGAGAGAGAGAGAGAGAATATCAAGCAAGCTCCATGCTTGGCACAGAGAATTTATGTCCTTGTTTGGGGCAGAAAGAAGGAGCTGGAAATAGGAAGGAGGAAACCCATAAATGGAGGTGGGGTTTTGGGAAAGTAATCACTGCTTGGCAAGAAAGGCGGCTGCATGATTGGGACAGGGCGGGAGGTGAGGCAGCGGTCAGTGGTCGGGGAGGGAGTGGTGGTCAGTGGTGAGGGTTAGTGGCTGAGCTGTGTCCCTGCAGGAGCTCGGGTGTCGGAGTCCTAGCCCCCAGAATGCAGTCTCTTCTGGAGATGGGGCCTCTACAGAGGTGGTCACACAAAGATGAGTGGTTAGGGTGGAGCCCAAGCCACCACGCCGGGTGTCCTCGTGAGAAGAGGCCATCTGGACAGACAGGTGCACACGGAGACAGGGAGAAGATGGCATCTCAGAGCCAAGGAGGGAGGCCTGGACCAGATTGATCCTTCCCACGCCCTCGGAAGGAACTGACCCTGAGCCTTGATCTCAGACTCCCCACCTCCGGAATTGCGACCGCACATCCCGCATGGCTTAAGCCGCCCTGCTGCCGTGCTGCGTTAGCCCTCGCACACCACTGCGGTGGGAGGGGTGCCCGACCTCGACGCTAGGCATTGTGGGGAGCTGCACCCATCGGGATCCAGGGGAAGAGGGACACAGCAGGACGACTAGTGGGGCCCCGAGAACCAAACGCATTCCTGCTTCCTGCCTGATTCTAAGCTGCTTTCCTTCCGGGAGGGATGGTGGGGCTTTTACAGAAAACAAGTGTCCCCACCAGGCTGTGTAGCTGCATCCTACCTCGATCCTGTGTGCTCCTCGACACTGGGGAACACGCCTGTCCTGTGACCTCACCTGTTCCCGACCAAGGCAATCTCCAGTAAGCGCTGTTTTTGTACGGCCAGGACAAGGCATTAAAGAAAGATAAAGCCACAACATTTATCACCGGACTGAAAACGAAGAAGTTTCCGAGATAAAGAAAAACTCATTAATTTGTGTTCAGTGACATCACCAGCCGTACACACAGCATTTTATCGGATTTAGTACGGTAACAGTAAAAAGTTAGCAACAAAGTAGTCGCTTACTGTGCAAATAAATTTATTGACAAACGATATTTGGGCATGCGTTTTACAGATTGTTATCCTGGGCTTTTGTTCTGGACTGTGGGGCCCACTCTGAATATAGTGAGAGGTATTTCACACTGTGTCTTTTTTAAATGCTTCTTTAATACAACAATTTTATTGAGCTATAATCCACATAATGAGCGTGTACATTAGTTCACTCATTTAAAGCATCAGTTCATTCCAAGTGTGCAGATTCAGTAGCTCTTAGTCTATTCGCAAGTTGTGAGCCATTAGCAGCTTTAGAAAATTTTCATCGCCTCCCCCCCCCACCCAAACATTGCACACATCATCAGTCACTCGCCGTTTCCCCAGCATCCCCTGCCCCCACACCAAGCCCAGCCTGAGACAACCACTGGTCTGCTCTCTGGTGTCACAGATTTGCCTCTTCCGGACGTTTCTTATAAAGGGATCCGACAACACGTGGGCTTTTGAGACCTGCTTCCATCACCGGCACAATGTCATGTTCTAGGATGTGTGGGTAGCTCCTTCCTTTTCACTGCTAAACGCACCATGGTAGGAACACACCGCGTGTACAGGTCCACGCACCGGCTGATGGACGTCTGGGTGGTTTGCACTTTTTGGCCGTTATGAATGCTGCCGCTGTGGACACCTGTGTACAGAACTATCTGCTTGACCACGTGGTTCCACTTCTCTTGGGTTTACATCCAGGAGTGGAGCTGCTGTCCCTTCGAGGAGGAGCCAGTCTGTCTTCCAAAGTGGCTGCGTCATCTCATATCCCACCATCAGGCCCTGGGGAAGATCCAGGTCCTCCACACCCTCGTCAACGTGTTACTGTCTTCTTGGCGACAGCCGTCCTATGCGGTGTGACGTGGTCGCACGTTGTGCACTTGACCCGTGATTCTCTGTAGATGAATGATATTGAGCATCTTTTCGGGTGTTTGTTGTCCTATTTATATCTTCTTTGAAGAAATCCCTTCTCAAATCTCTTGCCCATGTTTTAAAACAATTTTTTTTTAACATTTGTTCATTTTTGAGAGAGAGAGAGAGAGACAGAGACAGAGAATGAGTGGGGGAGGGGCAGAGGGAGAGAGGGAGGCACAGAATCTGAAGCAGGCTCCAGGCTCTGAACTGTCAGCACAGAGCCTGATGTGGGGCTTGAACTCATGAACCTCGAGATCATGAGCTGAACCTAAGTTGGACACTTAACCAACTGAGCCACTCAGGCACCCCTCTCTTGCCCATTTTTAAATTGGGTTGTTTCACTCATTATTGAGTTGTAAGAGTTCTTTATATATTATAGATACAAGTCCCTTACCAGATAGATGCTTTACAAATGTTTTCTCCCATTCTATGGGTTGTCTTTTCATTTTCTTAATGGTTTCCTTTGAAGTTCAAAAACTTAAAATTTTTATCAAGTCCAATGTATCTATGTTTGTTGTTATTACTGTTGCTTGCGTTTTTGGTGTCATATCTAAGATTGCTTGCCTAATCCAAGGTCTCAAAGATTTACTCTTGTATTTTCTCCTAGGAGTTTTATGAGTTTAGCTCTTCCATCGGGTTGATGATTCATTTTGAGTTAATTTTCATGTATGGTCTAAGAAAAGGGTCCAAGTTTATTCTTTTGCTTGTGTATACTATAATTTTTATTCCAAACTTTAATATAATTTACTTTCTTTCCAGCTTCCTAGTTCCTAAGGGCACCTGTTATTTATTTGGGATTTGGGGGTTTGGAATGCAGTCTTGAGCTCTGGGACATGTAGTTTTGCTGTGTGAATCTTACTGATTCAGGTAGAGAAACCATCAGCAACCTTAATCTTACTTGTAATGATAACTCTCTGTCCCAAAAATAAATAAACATTGAAAAAAAAAATCCACATGTAAGTGGGCCCACATGTAAGTGGGACCCTGTTGTTGAAGGGTCAGCTATACTTAAAAGGACCAGGATTCAGACCCGGTCAGAATAGCTTCAGAGCTTTTACTTTAATTATTATTATTATTTTTTATCTTTAAAAGTTTAAGCCTCAAGTTTAAATCCTGTTACGCAGGGTCTTTCTTACCCCCCCTCCACTCCATATTTACATTCCCTTCTCCCACAGCCACACTCTGGTTCCCAAAAATGTGATCAGAGAACATACTTTTTATGATTTCAGTCATTTTGAATGTATGGAGGCTTACTCCTTTTGACTTAACATATGGTATGTTCCGGAGGGAAAAAACCATGTGCGCTCGGGAAGAATGTGTCTTCTGTAGTCATTGGAGGCTTGTGCTGAGAATGTCAGGTTAATTTGGTTAGTCCTGTTCAGGTCGTCTGTCTCCTTGATGGTTGTCTGTCTGGTTACTCTATCGGTTATTGAGAGTGGGGTATTGAGATGTCCCATTATTATTATTAAATTGCCTATTCCTCCTTTCAATTCTGTCAGTTTTTGCTTCACATGTTGTGGGGCCTTGTGTTTAGGTGTGTGCACGTCTATAATTTTTATGTTGTCCTGATGTATCGCTCCTTTTGTCGTTATGAAATGTCCCTCTTTGTCTCCAGTAACAGGTCTTGCCCTAAAGTCCACTTCATCTGGTGTTAACACAGCCAGGGCAGTTCTTACGGTTACTGTTTTCGTGGTATATTTTCTCATCCTTTTAGTTTCACACTTTTGCGTCTTTGAATCCAAAGCGTATCTCTTGTGGGCAGTGAATATAGTTGCGTCTTGCTGTTTTTAACGGAGCCTCACAATTTCTTCCTTTTTAGTGCAGTGTTTAGTCCATTCACATTTAATGTAGTGACTGAAACGGTTGGTTTCCATCATTTTTTTTTATGTGCTTCTGGATTCTGTTTGCTACTCTTCTCTTTAGGAATTTTATGGAGAGATTTATATGTGACATTGGCCTGTGGCTTTCTTTCCTGTGCCATCTGTCTCATGCTTCGGTATTATTGTTGAGCTTGTTTCATAACAACTATTTGGAACGTTTCTTTCCTCTCTGTGATCTGGAACAGTTCCTGGAGCCCTAGGATTATGCAGCTTGATGATTTTGTCCAATTCTCTTGTGACACCGTCTGAGATGATCCTTTTGTTGTAGACGGTTTCCTTGATGACTTCTCTGTTTCTTTTATAGAAATTGATCTGTTTTAGCTTTTCTACTTCTACCACGTTTAATTCAGTAAGATGCATTTTTCTTGGAAACTACCCATTTCAGTTAGATTTTCAAACTTATTTGCAAAGATTTCTATAAATATCCTCCTAGAACTTTAAACTTCTTTGTTTCAATGGTTACTTCCCCCCTCGGTCTGTCTTATTTGCTTTCTCCTTTCTTCTGGCGATCAGGGTGCTGGTGACTTCTTTGTTTCATTGGCTTTTCTCCCTCCAATGAATCTCCACATCAGTTCCTTTGTTTTTGTTTGCTACTTCATTAATGACACTTCTATTATTGCCTTTCTCCTACTTCCTTTGTTGTCGTTGTTGTTGTCTTCTTTTCAGGCCTTTTGAGTCCAGTAAGTCTCCTCTACTGTGTAATACCACCTCGTTACCTCCCCTCAATCAGCTGGTCCCGTCACCTAAGCCTCCTGCATCCTGCCATTTGCAGGTTGATAACCAATGTTTATCAAATGAGTGGACAACTCTCAGCGGTGTGCAGCCTTACGTGTAGGGTGGGCCCTCAATGAGCGCTGGCTGGGTTGACATGCGAATGAGTCTACACAACAGGAGGGGTGATAATAAGATCATTTTTGCGTGAAACAGGGATATGAACTCTGTCATCCCTCAGGATCGGCGGGTCCTGTGACTCTCTGATCACCGGTTTTACAAATCTACCCTTGTCTCTTTAGCGCTACATCTACCTCTGTAGATATCTCCTCTCAATCTCTGTATCTGCCACAGATTCCTCACAAATACTCCGGTGCTCGACCCAAGTCGGGGGATGAACGTACCGCTCGAGTATGCAAGTGCTGTGGGGGCTGCCTGGGACACAGGAACACGCCACAGGGCTCGCCATGCACCCTGACGTGTGGCTCATCTTCTTTCTGAACTCTGCCCTGACACGAGGCAGTGGGTGAAACAAGACAATCTCAAAGGTCTCATCCGTGCGGAGGATTCGGCAGTTAGTTGACAAATGTCTAGAAACGAAATCACAGTGTGTTGCGTGAGTTTAACAAGCTAGCGACCTGCACTGTGTGACAAGCAGAGAGACAAGCCACATGACTCATAGCTTCAGTCACCATAATTATGTTACGACCTCGTAACTGATGTCGTTGATGTGCCAGTCAGCTTATGCCACAAACCACATAATGGTGTTTGCGCAAAACGACATCTGAATTTTTCAGGCACTGTGGAGAGGAGAGTTTAGTCCCTTCTTCCCAAATGATGCAGCCAAGACCCAGGGAGACGTCCAGGACCTCGACAGTATACTTGCTCCCTTGGCGGTTCTTGGATTGAACAATAGGAACTTTCACAAATGCCTCACTGTGGGGTGGGTGGTATGGGGCAGGAGCCCGGTCAGTTTTCCTCCAGCCCTCCGGGCAACTGGGCTGTACTCCAATGGGGACACCCACTGTGTTCGCCTGGAACAAAGATAATAAGACCGGGATCTTAATTCAAGACCAAGGCCTCTTGATCCCCAGCCCGTGCCGTCATCCAGGATGCCAGACCATGCCTGCAATGTGTCAGAACCCAAGGGGCCCAACCAGGAATCCATAAGCACTTGAGACCTAGCGTTGGGACGTGACCATTTCAGGTTACTTTTCCCTGGTGCCATCGAGGTGCCTCGTTCCCGAGTGTGATGACCATTGAAGATCCTGGTCTTGGCCCTACAAAAGGAAAATGGAAAATCTGACTTGGAGACCTTCTGTGTGCTTGAAACGCCAACAAGAGAGACTGACCAAGACGGACCCATCACTGTGTTGGGGACGCAGCCGGGTGGCTGGGGAGGAGCAGTTCAGCAGGGGCTCTCGTCCACAAGTCAACCTCTACCGCTTTCCCCGATGGTGGAAGCAAAGTAGCCCCAGAGGAGTGCCGACAGGAAGGGTGTCTCCAGCTCCTGCATTCTCTAGGGCCTGGATCCTGAGCTCAAAGTAGACCTGGAAGGGGTAGGTGATGAAGAGCCAGAAAACAAGGCGAGCCCACAAAGCAACAGCGGGTGGTTAAGATGGCCACGGTGAACAACGCAACTGAGAATTCACTCTGCGGATGCTCCTGGGGCATTGGCCCCATAATATTTATTGAGCGTTTACTATGTGTGACGCCGGGCTCTGGTGTTCGGTGGGTGTTGCTGACGTCCCTGCCTTACGAAGGCTCTGGTGTCACAGACCTTCCCACTGCGGTGCACGAAGCGGCTGTGGTTGGGTAGACTTACGTTTCTGAGAATGGAGTATCACCGCTTCGTGAGCAAACTTTGATTCCACAGAAGTAGACGCCGCAGGCAGAGGCAGCGTGCCCACGACGTGCTTTTGTGGAATGAGAGCCAGGTTATCGGTCTGCTGTTGGTGCAAGCCAGTCCTGCCCGTGGACACCAGGCTGCAAAGGGCGTCCCTCTTACCCGCCGGACGGCACCCCCCGCACGAAAGTCCCAGGTGATAGTAGCCACCGGATACTCACTGTCAGAGGCCGGAATGGACCCGGAAGAGCTGGCCTCTCCCGATACCCTTGCAGGCCGAGCTCCCCAAAACTGCAGGAAGAGAACCAGAGAGGTGCTTCCTTGCCAGGTGGGCGAGGCCAAGTCTTCCCGCTGTGCTCGCGGGCACCGCCCGAGGTCTCCGTGCCAGCTGCTGCTGGGCTGCAGATGCCATGTGCGGGCCCCATTCCCTGGGGGGTGGAGAAGCTGCTTGGTGAATAATCAGGATGATGAATCACACCCCTTCTTTCTCTTGTGTGCGTGCCGAGGAGACGTGCTCAGTCCTCCCGTTCTCACTGCTTGTGCTGCGGGCAGATTACCCGCCGGGGGAGTGATGAGGGTAATTAAAGATGTGTACCGCAGGCTGGCGCTGCCCAGGCGTCCAGGGAGCGTTTGGAGAGCGCGCGTTTCTCTGTGACACTGTGGCAACCGTGTCAGACAGAGCCTCACGGTATGTAGCTTTCCAGAACTAAAATTCAGCACGTACTTTGACAATGGCGTGCTTCGATTGGCTCATCGCTCTGGCAAGCGGTGTTTCTACGAGCTGCCAGAGGTCCGGTTGCCATAGAAGTTATTCCCCCCACAAACTGGCTCAGGCCGCCGGAGAAGCTCCCGATCGCGACTGCCCACCTGCCTCCTCTCTCTCTTACGTCCTCAGGCGATGGATCTGGAAGTTCCCGTGCTGGCCAGGAACATCCCCGGGAACGCGGCAGTGGTGAAGCATGAAGTCACAGGGCTGTTGTTCTCAGACCCTCAGGTAAGGGAGGTGGGGTCCCCGGGATCGGCTCATCAGAATGATTTTCGTTCCGCGGTTCCCATCTTTTCTCCAGCGCCCAGCACCCCCCTCCCGCCTGCTCCCCCTCGGCGGGAGCCCCGTGTGCAGCGTGTGTCCCCGCCCAGAACAGTCTGATCCTGCCTCCAACAGGTGGCGTGGCCTCGAGCAAGTCAGGTCACCTGTGAGACGCCTGGCTGTCTCGCTTCCAAAGCGGGCACGGCCTTCTATTTCTAGAATACCTGCTGGTTTCTAGAAGGTCGCCGTATATCCGATCACCTGTACTGCCTCACAACAATGTACAGGATAAGCGGGGGACTCGCATCTATGCACGCGCACACATGTGTATTTTGGAAGTGAGACAGGATGGTGCCTCTGAGAGCGGGCATGGCTGGGGCACGCGTATGTGTGCGCCTGGACGTCCGGGAAGCGTGGGAAGGGGTTTCCCGTTTGCAAGCTGCTGAGGTTTCCAGAGTACTCGTGTCTGCCTGCGCCCGAAGCCCCAGGGACCGCGTGCGAGGCGTGTGGCCGGGTCTCCAAGCCCTGTTTTGTCCTCTGGGCACGTGCAGCTTGTTGCACCTCCTGCCGCCTGGAGGTGTGAGGGGGGGACACGCAGGGCTGAGCGTGTTCACGGCCGCGGCAGAGCCCCGGACCTGTCATCACGGAAGGAGAGGCACTACCACTGACGGCGCCTTGTGTCAGGCGGTCGTAAAGGAAGAGCCTCAGGCCCGAGTTCTGTTCTTCGAGTCTTTAAAAATCAGGTTCTGCTTCCCCGCGTCTTTATTAAAGCACATGTGCTATTCAGAAACGTACGGATGTGTGCTTAAAAATTACAGTCGATTCACCGGTTTGAGAATGCGGTTCTTCAGACTTCCCTGCGGCAGGTGTTTAAGCCGAGGCGGCCCTCCCTCTCCCTGGCTATGACGATGGGTCACCTCTCGTCAGGGCTGACTGGCGCGTTGGCTCGCCCGGAGGGCAGGTGCACCAGCCGGGGGGGGCCGGGGGCTTACCCTCGGCACCAGGGCCTTCCCTTTTGGCAGCAACAAAAGCCACAGCGATACGAGCCTGTGAAGCCTTCAGAGTGGGCACTTGCTGATTCTCCAAGCACCGGTTTCTGGATCTGTCAAAATCAGCAGCAGCCAAGCTTTTCGGCCCGACGGCATCGTCTGCACCCTGGCAGCTGCTGTCACTTCCATCTCCCAAAGGCCACGTCTGCTTATTTTATAGCTCAATTTCAGAGCGCTGTAACTTTGCCAGCGAGAGTCCCTCCGGTGGGGGATGCCTTCTAACATCAGCAAGTAACCGCCCCCCCCCCC